CTTGAAATATCTGACAAACATATATGTATATATATGTATATATATATATATGTATATGTATATATATATATCTGTGTGCGCGTTACAATATGTGTTTCTGCATTTGCATAGATGCAAAAATGCATAAAAACGGCAAGCGTTAACCGAAGGTATCGAGAGCCTGGCATAGCTGAGCTTGGCGTGTGAGAGCAAAATGGTAACATCGCTACCACGGGATATTCACAATGATAGTCCGAGTGGTCGTGGTTATAAACCGGTTAATACTGATGATCAGAAAAGTGATGTTAACACTGGCCAGCAAAAGACTGTTCCCATCGAATAACAAAATAACTGGTAATAATAAAGAATGAAAAAACAAGAACAAGGACTACAGAAATAATGCAGGTATTAAGGAAAAAACAATACTGTTTAAAGAAAGGTCATCTTTATGTGGTAATCCTCATTTTTCATGAGTTAGTTGCTGCATGTAAATTATAAATTTTTTTGTTAGAACAGTTCACCGGATGCTACAAGGAGGACTTCCGGATCAAACTGTTCCTAATGCAGACGCTGCTCAGCTTTTATGCTCATGGTGTTTGCATTATAAGCTGTGGCAAACTTTTATATCCATGAGTTCCAGGACGACAGCCACATGAAACCAGGAGACAAAAAAGCCGTACTTACAAAATATGGGATGAGTATCCTGTAGAGCGGCGATGTCAAACGCCTTCGATCATAGATAGATATGAAATCTTCAACGATGCACGCAATGCACGGATGCCTATCAGCAGCACTTACACTTCGTACCAGATTCGGCATCGGCAATGAGCATACTGGGCGCACGCTTTCACGCAAGTCAAAGAATTTCAAGGAACGTGAACAGCCCAAACACAACAATTTGCCATCATTCCTAAACAGGTGATATGCAATCACATTCCACATAATCATTAGTGATGCACTTCAAGAATCGTAAAAATGGTATATTTGGACTGAACTGAAAATCCCTTTTTATGCCGAACTTTTTTTTTATCCAGAACTTGCCACTTCCTCCACGCCCCCCCCC